TAGTATTTTTGAATATTTTTATTTTTAAATATAGTTTATTAGTATAATTAGAGCAAACTGAATTTCCATACTTGTTTATATGATAATATACAATTGTATACAAATAAAACCATGATTAGTATTTTGTTAATTAGTAAAAAAGCAGCTACTTTTGATACATACCCACTATAATTTCTAATATTATATAAAATCGATGGCATTGTATGATAATATGTATAGTAGATATATTATAACTAAATAAATAAATTGTTTTTTTTATTCTTTTACATTTTTAATTAGTATCAAAACATATTGTTTATTCAATAATTAAATCCTTATTTTTTGAGTATCTTACATACATAATGTTAATTTTTAATGTAGTATATTGTTATATCAATAACCATAATTTATAGTACATTTTAATTATTCAATTTCATCGCAGAGATACCAATACGTGATCAAAAATGCGTTGGCATGGGCTTTATTAAACCGTGGAACGCACGCGTGCGCATATGTGTGTATGTATGTATATGTGTTTCAGAATGAAACACCCTAAAAACCCTTTCTAGGGTGTTTGTCGTAAACATCGATTAAGTCGTTTACGATACTATTTTTATAATATAGATATATTGATATTTTACATAATCGCCTGTTGTCATTTGTAGAATATTATACGACATTATTCTAATCACGCGACGGATAACATTATATACTTCACTTTCGTTCGAATACGGTACCCATAGGGTTTAGGCCTGTTAGTCAGATAACAAGACAATGCGGAAACCTACCTATTGTACCATGTTATTATGTTTTTACGTGAATAAGTAGCCTAACCGACAGCTGTCGGGAAAATCGTAGAAACTCCGATGGATTTAATTTTCGATTATATGATATAAGTATTTTAAGACTAATCCAGGGAGTATAAAAGTTGAAAAAATATTTATAATTTTCTAAAATATTTATCAACCCCATTTTAGCAACTTTTATTCCAAACGATAAAAAAAAAAATTCTCAAGAATTCAATTGTCACAAAAATATAATTTTATATAATATGCTGTGGCATATTTGCAATGATTATTTACATTGTATACGATATAATTTATCTGAAACTAAGGGTATATCTATATTCTATACGTTTCAAAAAAAAAAAAAATTCCCTCTTTGATAAATTTTATATATATATATATAAATTTTGTTTACAATTATATTTAGTCATAACCTAACCTGTATATTTTTTATACCTATACATAGTTACTAATAAGCAACTACATATTATGAATATAATTATATAACTGTATAATATGAATAACAAATCACATAAAACAAAAAGTAGTTACTATACGATTAAATAGATAAATAGATAAATAGATAAATAAATAGATATTAAACAGATATATTTAACATTTATAATAAAAATAATTCTTAGATTAGGATTTAGAAATATGACAATATTCGTTTTTTGTTACTACTTATAATTTGTAAGCATTTATGCTCAACAACGTGAAAATGATACGAACATTACGACATAACAGACGCAATATAAAAAACTACGACTATATTTTTCTAAAAACACATTTTTCACAACACTTAATGCACTCATAAACGAAGAAAAGGTTTATAATACCTAATTATTTTAAAAATAAACAATGTAGTGGACATGGAAAATGCGATAAGTGGCTACTTTTTTCTATTGAACTATACTGACCATGGAAAATATCACGGTTATTTACATGTATGTAATATGTATATTTTACAATTACAACTGTAATCATCGAATCTGAAACTACGATTGAGACTATCAAACTTTACCATAGTTGGAGTGTTAAGATGGTAAAGAAAAATGTACCGTGACTGCGAACCACGATAATTTTCATCTTGAGTGAATTTTAACACGTAAAACCATGGCTCCCAACTAACTGTATTCTATATATTGTAATTCTCAATTTAATCAAATTCCTTTGTGTGATATTTTCTTTAACATGAATATAGATATTTTCAGTTATATATTTTTTTTTCAATATTGTAATCTTATTAGAAATGTCTTCTCTGATTTATTAATCTCGTTTATCGTGATCATAAAGAGAACAAATTGAAAAAAATTGTGTCACAAGACTGTGTTCATATTTTTTAATGATTAGATAAATAAATATAATAGTTCTCATTAACTTTATTTTTCTCATATTTAATGATCTAAAATGTACAGATTTGTTTAAATAAAAATTGAATTTTAAAGAATATGATTCTGAGAAACACCAATAACGAGATTTAGCCTAGATCTGAAAAATTCAAAGAAGCTTTAGCGTCGAGTCGGTGATCGTACAGAAAATCGTGTGTGACTCAATAGCGTTTAAGGGGAAAAATAATAAAAGAAAAAATGGATACCACCACACCATAATTCTCCCGTTACGCTACACCGCTAGTCCTACTTTCCAATCACTACGACACACGCACGTGAATAATCGATAACCGAACATACACTGCAACGCCGCGCGTCGAAATAATAATTTCATACGCGTGCAACGGCAGTGCCCCCGATCGAGGGTTCTATACACGAAAACGGGTTGAAATTCCCTGGGACGTTCCACATATACGCTCACTTGCACACACCTTCGACCAAACTTATAGTACCCGCCATCCCTGCCATAGTCCCTTTGTGTTTATAGCGAATTTTATGCGCTATTCAGCAGATTTGGCCTTACACCAACCGATTCTCTCCACCTGCCCTCCGACAGTCTCTCGTCCGAACCCCATTTCCCTAACACTCGCAGCCACAATATATCTTGTGCGTTACCAATTTATGTACACACACACACAAACATACGTATACACTCTTCACCGTATTATGAGTCGCTACATTATAATTTCACTTTATCAGGTTCCGCGCACTTTTTATCGTATTTTTCAAACTTTATAAACTGTTCACCAACCTTATACACTTTATATGAAACTATAAGTATATAAATATTACGGCGGTACCGTTTAGTTAAAATACAATCATTTATTCGACAGATCTCGAAGTTTTATAATAAAAAGCGTGTTTTCAAAACGATAATAAATTTCATTGTGGTAAAAGATTTTTTTTTAAATTTATTTTACAACTTGAAAAATGAAAGGCAATTCAAGTTTTGTCAACTATTAACTATTGTTTTGCTAAATATTAAAAACAAGTACACATAAATTAGTCAAAATAAATTTCGTTGATTATTTATAAATAAAATTTAAAATTTACATTTTTTTATTAATTATAATTTAAATATAATTTTTCAATACTAAATTTACAAATAATTCAATATTTTAATTATTATTATTATTTTTTTTTTTTATCTATTCAATACTGACTTTATTTAGGATCTTGTTTGTACTTGTTTGTAACTAAGCAAGTCACCTATTAGTTTAATAGCTACTGCAGTGGTTTAATTCATTGAATACTTGTTACTAAATTACTTTAATTAATCCGGATTTTGTCAGTGTTGTTTGTATATCAGATATTTAGAGTAGTGTCATATTTTATTTATTAAATCATTATTATATTCTTGGCGGGTCAGAATTGAATTAACAGTGTGATTGTGCATGGTAATTATTCAATATAATATATGCCATTGAATAATATTATAAGTCAGCGAAATTTTTCTTGTGAAATAAACTGTTTTAGTTCAAAACTATTTAAGTAAACTAGAAATGTTTTACATATAAATTAACATTAAATATTTTGAAATATTACTTATGATTCACGAATATAATGATATGTATAAACAAATTTTCAATAAATCATCTTTCAGTATATTTATGCCATATTATGAAGTTCATATAACAAATGTACCAACTTTAAACTTATTTTTAATTATATTATTATACGTTATTACAAAACGGTATATTAAGTATTCTTAAACAATTCAAAATGAATTACTTAGTTAAATTGTTATTAAACAATTTTTTTTTTAAATATAACATCATAATAAATTAAATTTAAATTTTTACACATGTATACTACAAAATGAAACCGTAAATAAACATCAATTTTTAATGATATTATGAAAATGTTTGGGTACATAATGTTAAATAAAGTGAATCTAAGGCGATTTCCTCTGGATATTAATAGAATAGAAAAATTTTCCATAGTATATTTTAAAAGTTGAGATTTCTCATCCATATTTAAAAAAAATGAATTCAGTATAAATAATAAAATAAATTATTTTTCGATTTAATGTAATGCAAAATAAATAAACTAAATGTTCAACTATTTTATTTAAACACTAATTAATACGATGAATAATATTATTATGACAATACAAATATTAAGTTATGCTTATTGCTTAAAACAAATTAAATATAAATATAATTTTAAATAAAGTTAAATAACATTAAAATATCTAAATAATACTTTAAAACAAAAACTAAGATATACATATATAAATATTTAGTCATAAAAAATCTAAGTATATGGTTCATAATAATAATTTTATTTTTAAACGCATTTTTTTTATTTTTTTATTTTTTTGATGAATTAATCATACGTGTTTGGATATTTAAAAATTTAATATGAGCAAACCAGTAAAAAATTTATTTCTAGATTATTTTTAATAAACATCTAAATATTATGTTAATAGTTATTTAGTTTTTTCTAGAAAATGAAAAGTCTTTCAAGATGAAAAAATAGACTAGAGGAGTAAAGAAAATCTTGTAATTAATAATATACATAATATGTTCTTATGAACTCAGCAAAAAAAAAAAAAAAAATGAATATTATTCTCGTTTTTTCGTTTAAAGAAACATATTATTAAAACGTATTTTTCAAGTTAATAGCAAGATAAGCATATTTTTTCTTATTTTATATAGACTAAAATATACTGTTTTTTATTTGCTTAACGTAGGTTAGTGAAATTTTCATACATCATGAGTAATTTATTTACTCATGTTTATTCTAATTTAATTTTGTCGATCTATATATTAAGTAAATGTCGTTCCAAAGTATATATTATCTATAAAAAAAAAAATTAATTATAAAAAATTGTATATTTCAGATGTTAAAGTTAAGTGTTTGGGGTGCCGGCGGCGGATGCAAGGTCGAAGAGATGGCGTGGTTTGTACACCGGTAGGGCAAACACGGAGGGGCTGAAAAGCGCCCTGGCCCGGCTTCGGCAGAGGACCTCTGGACAGTCCCATGAGAACAACACTGCAGAACCCACTCGCCATCATGCTCGTGTGAGTATTCACGTGAAATATGATGTAATATAATAGAATATAAAATTTTCGCTATATTTTTGGGGATGGTTGCTATAATGCATGCATTTTAAAACAGTTAAGCTAAATAAAAACAAGCTAAATAACAGATCATTGCTAATAAGGTTTATTATAACTCGCTGATGGTTTGAACCAAAACTCGTAAACTTTTCAATTTTAATATAAAATATCTTTTTTTCTTTCAAACTGCCATTTAAGCAGATTGATAAGATTTAAAAAAAAAAAAAAACAGATGACATAATGCAGTAGAAATCCATTAAACATTTACTTTGAATAGAAATGATGGTTGATGTGTCGTGCGTCATGTGTTTAGTAAACTAGATAATGATTGAAATAAAATTAAATAAAAATAACTGCTTTAATAGAAAATAGAATTATTAATATTTAGTCATTATTTTAAATCACACCATAATAATGATAATGGATTTACATTTTAATTTAATTTTGTTAATCTGTTTGACTTCATGTTCGTAAAATAAAATATAACTTTTTCATAACCATTATTACATTTTTACTGTGAAGAACTTATAAATTAATTAATGAAACAATATTTGTATACAATTAATGAACTGATTATAAAATTATAATATTTTTCTCAGCGCTTTAATAATATTAAACCCAATAACTAAAACAGAATATAGATATAAGAAAAGCTGATCTGGCGTTACGTATAAAAAAAGTATTTGCATACATTTAAAATGGTAAATAATAATATCAATATTATATATACGGGAAAACATATAAAAAAAAATTGATTTAAAACTACTATTCAAAATAAAATTGTACAAAAGTATAAATATTAAATATTGATGATTAATTAATTTTTCAATTTACGGAAAACAAAATATCTTATAATTTATTTTAATATTTAAACTCGTACTCATCAATACTCATATTTTATAATTTTATTTTTCATTCATTTTTTATTTATTTATTTATTTATTTATTTTTTTTTTTTGCTTTAAATCATTAACTGTTTAAACTAAAATACTATATAACAAACTTACATAAATGTTGAAAAATTGTATACAATTGTATAGTACCATATGTTAGTGATAGTAAAATAACAAAAAAATAGCATCATTGTTTAATATTTATAAAATCTTTAAAATTAAATTATATAATATAAATATACATATGTTATAAATAAAATACCAGTTACATTCATATATTATAAAACATATTGTATTAATAAAGGTCAAACAAATAGATTTAAATTATACAACAAAGTTTTATAAATGATTTTATGTGATTAGAAATAATACATTAGCGTTGATCATTAATTAATTTATTATTCGTGATAGTTACTTAACATTAAAGTTTATATCGTTAGAGTTCGAATACGTTTACAGCATGTTTATATTTGTAATATAAAACAAATATGAATAGGTACATTATAATTTATGGTCAACACCTAAGTAAAATATATTTTAAGTTAAAAGAATCATAACCTAAGTAAAATATATTTTAAGTTAAAAGAAATTTATTAATTAAGTTTTTAGTGTGGTAACTTTCAACTAAACTATAACATCTAAAATCAAATTTTTATGAACAAAAATAAAAATACAATAACATTTTATAATTTGAACACTTCTAAGAATAAAAGGACATAGCAATTAGTTGTATTTCATTAATCATCAGTAATTTTCAACTTATCTCTTTAAAAAGATAATTTTTTTTATAAAAGTGTAAGGCATATTTCCACATATTATTATCGATTTATTTGATAGTACTAGTTCTATATTTTCACACCCAATTTGGACATAATGTAAAAGATGAGTAGGTACTGCACTAACAAAGACACGGTAACAAGATTTTTCGATTTTTCTAATAAAATTCCATCTAAAATATCTACTATATCGACATAATTACCATCATATTTTTCTTGAAAGTTTTTATTTTTACTATCAGTAGAAATTAAAAAATAGATAAATATATATACATTAAGTATTTGGTACTCGATTTATAACAAACTACATTATACCTAATTTAAATCAAATAGTACTCCAAATAAAGCAGCATCAAGAGAAAAATACTAATTAAAACTTTTAATTATTACTCTCATTTTGAAAATAACCAGAAAAGAACATTTTTTATTGTTATTTGTCTTTTTAGAAAATCAACCTTAATATATTGCTAAGAAGAATAATGATTTTACCTTAATGCTAATGAAATGATTTATTATTATTATTATTATTATTACAGAACAAAATATAAAAGTAATTATCTGTTTTATTTATTTTGCAAGTTTTTTGTAAGAATATAATATACTGCAATTAATAAGAATCATGAGGTATAGTGTTATAATACACTTTCATGTGAAATCATTTAATTAGAACGTAAAACAATTGTTAAATTTTTGTCAAGAATAATGTAAACAGAAGAGTATATTAAATAGTGTGTTTAATTGTAAATATTCACATATATATTTATATGTTACAATATTAAAAACTGATCATAGTACTTAAATACCAATCATCAAAATATTATTTAGTATATGTGATTGAATTATATTCTTATATTATTTTTGACCATGTTGAAAGGAAAAATCGTACTATTTTGTTAAAAATATTATATAATTTAATACACTTTTAAATAAGAATTGTCGATTTACGTTTAATACTTTTAAAATTACCATCTTATTATGCTCAGTATTTCTATACTTTTATTAAAATTAAAAAATAGTAAGGTTTCACTATAAAATTACTTACCTGATACATTGAATATGGTAACTTTTTTTGTAATAAATCCCAAGTATCTAGTACTCGGTTTGAGTGATCAACTGCTATATTACGTTATAAAATAAATACCTATATAAATAAAACAAACAAATGTTGAGTCTTAGTCTATCGTAGATAACGTTTATTAATAAATAAATTGATACTTTAACGTCGTATATCATAATAATCTTACTATGATAATTTTAATTGGACTCAGATAACTCTTTTTTATATACATAAATTTAAATCTTTATTCCATAAATTAATTCATTTTTTTTTTTTTTTTTTAATTAATGATTATAATTTATTCTTGCCATTACAAAACGCAATACATTGTTCCAAATTAGTTTTAAATAATGATGATGGGTCGATATCGATTTTATAATGATGTTTTTTCTATAAACACTTTATCTGGTAAAAGGAGCGCTCAAAAAGTTTTGAGAAGTCCTTTGAAATTGATTCAAGTATAGTTATTAATTTTTAGGACAATTTTAAGTTAATTAATTAAAAATCTTAGTTTTAAATATATTGTATCGAAATAAAAACTATTGTTATCATATGTTTAAGTAAAATCAAAATAAATAATTAATAACGAATAATGAGATTAATTATCCAGTGCCACTGTCGTGGTGCAAGCTAAGTAAAATGAAAAATAACTGCATGATGGTGTGTGTATATCGAAGCAGGAGTTGCCTGTTTAAACTGTGTAAAATACAGGTAAATTTTTTATACGACATAACTAATTTTCTAATGCATCAATTAACTTCTAGTAAATTCCAAAACATCAGAAATATTGTGTAAAACGTGCTTTTGTAAAATTCATCAAAATCGTACGTTTAGAAATTAAGTTATAGATGAAAAAGTGCGAACTTTTTAATGGAAATTCAGAATTGCTATAGCCGTCGTCGTCACAACAACCGGTTTCTTCAATCGATTTCGTGTATACAGCTCGAGGTGTAGGTAGGAAAAAATATTTTTATGACAACTGCCAAATTCAGTGAGAGTGTCGGCGGGTCATAATCATGCATTAATTTCGTTGTCTACCGTCGTTTGTAGCTATCGTCTATACTTTAAGTAATTATAGCCGTTAACTTTTCGCATATCGCATACAATTAATGTATATAATTTGTGTTCTGCAATTGCCACCACGGGAAGTCATTACGCAATTATAATCAAAAAATCGAATATTTGGTTTAGGGCATTTAGGTGTATATGATCTTTTTTCTAATAAAGAAAGATGGCCTCTTGGTGGTAAAGACGTGTATATAATAATTTTAGAAAAACAAAACTAAAACAATTATAGATACATTATTTAGGTAAAAGTATAGATACATTATCATTATTATTATTATTATAATTTGCATTAATGATAAAAAATAGTGATATCACAACAAAAATCTTTTCTAAACTACGGGTGAAAATGGTTAAGTAAAGAAAAATTTAGATCTTAAGCAACACAAATATGTGATATCATGAATAAATGCTAAGTATATTGAATTTAAGTAAACTTATTTTGTTTCAATAATTTATTTACTTGGTGAGGAATTATTTCTTAAAAGAAACAAAGTGTGATGAACAAAATAATTAAATGGCGAGTATATGAGTTATGATTATTTTAAAATTGTTATTATTACTATTTATATTTCACTCTAAATAATTTCTCGTTAAATAAATAAATTATTAAAACAAAATAAGTTTACATAAATTCAATATACTTAGAATTTATTCATATTATCACATCTTTATAGTGCTTAAAGATCTATTTTTTTTTTTTTTACTTAGACATTTTTACATGTAGTTTACAAAGGATTTTTGTTGTGATAAATATTGTATGTTAGTTGTTGATGATGAAATTTACAAATATGTATTTGGTGGAGATATAATAATATACTAACTATTTAAAATATTTATCAATGTATAATTATACACATTTAATGGATTTTAATCAACATAAAACAGTGAATTGGCTAAATTTCCTTGTTTAGATAATTTTTTTTAATTTTTTTTGTCTCGTTATTTAGGTATAACAGTTTTATCAAAATCTACTAAGACACATCCAAAACACTAAATAATCAAACTACAATTTCATTAGTCTCAAAATTTTAGGTCAAATTACATATTTTTGATGAATGCATTTAACCATTAATATATAAAAGTGGACTACAGTCATCGAACTTCAGTTGTCGGTATACACAATTGTTGCACAACTATATTTGTAAAGTCTTATCCACATGACATAAT